GCTCTTCTTCTTCCGACTCTTCCTCCTCCTCCTCCTCCAGATCCTCTTCATCTTCCGGAATCGTGTTTACTTCCTCATCGATTTCCTCCCCCCGTTCTCGATCCTCTACGACCACGTTTTCATTTGCCGCGTCATCTAATATTCATCAGACATATATTATTAGTATTTCACATAATTAAAAAATCTTTTGTGTTGATATATACCACTGTAGTATTTTTCTTACTTACTTTCAAGCGGAGTAAATATGGTCGCCTCATCGAACGGACTTACTTCGCGAACCCGCACTTCTTCCACGTCGTTATCGCTTTCGGCTAAATCAATAACCGGATGCTCCAACTCCGGCGTTAACACGATGCGTGCACGGCCTGGAACGTATAACATTTTTATTAAAAAATTTCCTGTTTAATATAATGTTTTTCTAGCAGCGTGATATAATTTATAATGTTAAAAACTTACGCGAAGGCCCGGGCTCCGGCGAAGAATCCGCTCGTCGTCTTCTATTTAACCTTAGCCTTAGTGATACAGGGCGATTCTCCAGTACGCGCAGCCGGTTTCCTGTAACGCGTGCGACAGGGCGTACGAAAGCTAAAGTTTTAGCGAATTAAATAAATAAATAATTGGGGTAGTTTTAATTAATTTATTTATAATTAACTGTAATAAAAATAAAAACTTACCATTATTATCTTCTCCCCGCAGAACTCGATGAAAATGCAGGAGGAGATATTCTATGTGGCCTGCTACGTCGTTTTCCTTCTCACCACCAAAATAGTATCGCGACTCGATCACCTCACCCGCGATAATCACTAATTCGCGAAAAACACTAAAATGCCCTAGTCGGAATAATACCGCTAGCACAGCGCTGGGACATTCCCCCGCGAATTTTCCAAAAATATTGAAGCATTTGTCTTCACTAGCGCATGCTAATTCATATATATGCCTGGAAAAATTTTTCCCGCATAAACTCTGCGCTAGTGATAGACAAATTTCAATTACTTTTTTCAAACTCATTATTTGAAATTTAATAGTACACTTGCGTCGAATACGTGAGTACGCGAGAGACGAAATTCGAAAAAATGTAACTAACTTAACTCCGAGAGCCGTATTTATACGTTTTTATCAAGATGGGGAATTTTCAGGTAACTTTTCTCGATTTTATTTTATCTTTTTTTCTCATACCCGAGTATTCTTACCCTTGTTTTATATATATGTTAATATTTACTTAGATATAGAAAATATTTAATTTAGGGCAATATTTACTTAATTACAAAAAGTTTATGGAAATCAAGATGAGGAATTTTTAGTTATCTTTTCTCTATTTTATTTTATCTTTTTTATCTTTTTTCTCATGCCCGAGTATTCTTACCCTTGTTTTATATATAAATATATATATATATATATGGTAATATTTACTTATTGTTAGATACAGAAAATATTTAATCTAGGGCGATATTTACTTAGCTACAAAAAGTTTATGGAAATCAAGATGAGAAATTTTCGGGTATCTTTTCTCGATAGCGGTAGGAATTTTATATTTTCTCTGTAGTCAGATTTAAAAATTATATCATTTATATTGTTTAAAAAATTCCCCTTCCACATTAAAAATTATATCGTTTATATTGTTTAAAAAATTCCTCTCCCACATAATTTTTATTATACTACACATGCATTTTCTCCCTATTACTTTATTGTTTAAAAATTCCCCTTCCGCATTAAAAATTATATCATTTATATTGTTTAAAAATTCCCCTTCCTCATAATTTTTATTTATCTGCGCATGCCTTTTCTCCCTACCACTTCTATTTTATCTTCTTATAAATTTTCTTGAAAATCTTCGCTCACTCGTCTTTCATCGTCCGGACTTTCAAGTTCGTTAGTAAAAAGATAGTTAGTAAAAAAGTTCTCGATTTTTCGATTTTTCCGCGTCTTTGATTATTAAATCTTTGATTTTCTACGCGGTAGCAACTACCATGAACAATCTTAAGAAAATCGAGCAACAACCGCGCATGTTGCTGTCAACAACATACGGATTGAATTCATCCTACACGAAGAAAATTCAAGTGGGTCTTATGACGGAAGACAACGTCGAACTGGATTTTCTACCTGCTGTTAAATTAACATCTCACGGAGCTGCAGGGATTTGCTTCGACATGGAATCGTGGCAAAAATTTCAAGAAAACATGGAAACGATGTCGAGCTACTTAAATGGTGATAAAATTAATTTGAGCTCGATCATCTTTAACAAGATAATTATAAATTTCACTACCGCATATGGTGCTAGAGCCATACTAATAACATATCGTGAAAACGAACAAGAAGATCTTTCTTCCGAAACTGCGGAGGATACGAACGAAAACGGACCGAAGGCGAAGAAACGTAAAACTTACAACATTGCGATAGTCATGCAGAGAACGACTTTTCAAGGTGTAGAAAATATAGTTAATTGTGTGAACGCTAATTTAAATCGTCTAAATTTTATTTCAACTAATGTCAACGAATGTGCTCGATATTTAATTAACGAAATACAGTTAAATCTTCCTGTCAACGGTAGCATTAATAGCAGTATCGTGAAACTCACGATCAGAGGTAACAGTAAGGAAATAGAACGTAATGTACGCACCCAACTGAAAGATTTAACATTTCTCGATGTATACTTCGAGATAACATTTTTAGAAATAATTTCACTTTATTTCGAACAAATTGTATATGCAATTATATCAAAACGTAAATTTTAATAATTATTCGACGAATATTTTTTTGAAATGATTGTGAATAATTTTGTTCTGTAAAATATTTTAAATATAAATCATATTTGTACTTTTAAAACCATTGTTCAATTTTCTTTCACTTACTCTTTCCAGAAATTTCCTCAACATGCATGTTCCTGTTTACCTTCATTAAGCAGCGAGTTATTTTAAAATAAAATTTTATCTGACATCTTTCTAATCTACGACGATGTATTATTATTTTTTATCGTGACGCGAGTCGGAATGCTCGCCTGTACAAATATTTGCGTGTTCTTTTTTATTACCCTACGCCATTGTCAGCTACTACCTGCCACCGGTCGACCGCACGACGCTTTTCTTGGCCAAAATGTTTTTACCCCACCCCGTCTAATATCGACCATTTGATTCGACGAGCTATCCTTGCCATACGTATACCCGAACTGTTTTTACCCCACCCCCGTCCAATATCGACCATTTGATTCGACGAGCTATCCTTGCCATACGTATACCCGAACCCCCATGCCGTACTCTACGCAACTTTAGCTTAAATACCACATCTAATCCTTAGACTAGTAAGATCTCGTTTAGCTCAACATACTAGGACCCTGCTCGGAAACACGGAGGTCCCGGGTTCAAATCCAGAGAAAATCAGAAAAAATAAAAAATAAAAATTCTCATCCCCACCTTTCGGGGCCAGTCGCCATTTTTTTTTCCCCCAACACCCTTTCCCCCTAACACCCACACTCGGAAAAGCCAGACGCCGGTGGTGGGGGAAAGATAAGATAAGACCCGGCGCCAGACGGGTCGGTGGTGGGGGTTTGTTTTGACGGGCCATACCTGCCATTATACTACTTTTCTTTTTTACATGGCGCATGGACTTGGCATCTTGTTTATCTTTTTTTTAAAAGATAAGTTTTTTTATGGTACGATTCTACATTTGCAAATTTAAATTTTTACTGATTCATTATACGACTCTATATATGTCTGCAACTTTAATTTTCCACTGGTACAAGTTTCTACTTTCACTTGGCGCAATTTTTTTTTATTTCATTACTTTTGTTACGATTGTACATGAATTTATAATCGATAATTTTTCATACAATTCTATTGTACATGGGTTTGCAATGTAGGATTCTACATAAGTTTGCAATGGATCATTTTTAATACAATTCTACATGAGTTTGCAATGGTTAATTTTGCCTAGGATTCTACATGGGTTTGCAATGATTAATTTTTTATAGGATTCTACATGGGTTTGCAATAGGATAGGATTCTACATGGGTTTGCAATGGATAATTTTTGTTAATGGCGTTGAATCGTCGTCATTAGCAAGTGAATCAAATTAAAGAGTGCACATAATTTTCAATAGCTTTTGCGATCTTCACGACAATTGATCGCGACAAATTCTCCTTCCAGTTACAACTGTTGAGAAAAGAATTAGGTACCTGATAACCTGATTTCACAAGTATTGCACAACGTCCGAACACTTGACAGTTTATCGCCCGAACACGCTCAATTGAACGTCACAAAGGTCGGAACACAATTGACAGATCAATAATAATATTTTCTCATTGTGATTGTATTTGAAAAAAATATATAAAAACCTTGTACATTTCCATAAAATTTATTACGATCGAGGTTAATGTCATTTCAATTCATAATGTCGTGCAATAAACCATTGTGAAAATCGCTGGAATTATTGAAGATCGCATATACATTCTTATGATTTACTTATTAATGCTAATCCAATCCAGAGACTAAAACGTATATTTATAGGATTAATCAATAAATTCTCATTAGAAGGGAAAAATAATTTACGCTTTGCTAACCACGTCTGGCTCTTAATAGCCTATTTCCTGCTAGTTGAATATTCAATACCAAAGCCCTTAGACTTCATTTTTTATTTAATTTTATTTTAACTGACGTTTTTACTTTTTTACGACTAACTAAATATTACATCAGATCTAGATATACAACAACAAAATTGAAAATTATTTTAAAGAAGAAAATAATATTAATTTATTTTTCACGAAAACACTTGATATATTATTTCGTTATTAATATTTTTAACATTAAATGTACTTTGATAAACAAAATTGAAAATTATTTCAATTTTGTTTATCAAAGTACATTTAATGTTAAAAATATTAATAACGAAATAATATATCAAGTGTTTTCGTGAAAAATAAATTAATATTATTTTCTCTCAAGAAAAATGTTTTTGTTGAAAAAAAATTGTAAAATAAATATAACTAAAAAATTAATGATTGCGTGAGACATTTATTGCTATATAATTAAACTAAAAGTTCAGGAAAACGTACCGGTCTGTCAGAGGAGTTATTACAAGTCTTCCGGTATTGCCTAGATATTCGTAGCCATATATGAAGTGAGTGTTTGTTTGCCGAACAATACAATCGTCTATGTCTGCATCCCAATAAAATCTTAACTGCGACAGCCATTCGAAAGCGGTCACATCTTTGCAATCTGAAAAATTTTGAAAAGTAAGTTTGTGCTCCTGTTTTTTATCTGACTTCATTTATTTTCTCTCTGACTTGAAGCAGCAAAAAAAGTATATACTAATGAAATAATATAATAAATGTCACGCAGAGTTGAAATATTATTTTATAACACATTAGCACGTATTACATGAGATAAGAAAATTTATTATTTTTTTCTTTTAATTTTATAAGATGGCAAAAAAGACAACGGCGCGATTCTTGATAATAAAAATCATTTTAACGTAAAGTTTGTTTTATTTGAAATCACGAGATTGCTCCTACATATTAACGAAAATTATATATTGCAAAAGATTGATATTGAAAACTAAAGAATTATTATAAGAAAGATAGAATTTTTTCATAAACTTTCGCCAATTTTATATTTTTCCAAAAATAAACCCTCGCTGTCATACATGTATATTTCTGTAAGCATTCTCTTCGAAATACCACCGATATACAAATTTACTAGGGGATGCAACGGTATTTTTCTACTATAGCGTATCGTATCGCCAACGATATAACGCTAGAACGTGATGCGGTTGCGATGGTTCTATAAAATGGTTCGTAATTTGTTGGCTGTACATTCGAGTGTATGTTGAGTATATTTTTACAAAAAAACAAATATGTGTAACAAATATCGTTGAATCGATGACAAAGGAACGATTGTAGAAGAATGCACAAATTCACTTACTCATTTTGTACATTTTGTCGATGACATCTCTCGCGTGTATCTCGATAACAACAATAGCCTTGAACTTTAGTCGATCCAGTTTACTCAGATCACTTCGTATAGTTTCCGAGTACTTGTCTAACGTCTGATTCTGTTTTCTTCTCAGTCTTCGCAATGGCTTCTTCGAGTCTACCATTCTCGAGTACGAAGGTAAATCAAATAAAACTTAATTGAATTGTCAAATACATAGCTAACGTACTGTTTCGCAATTGCGCTACCTGATACATAATTAATCTATTCGTTTTCAAGAGTCTCTAGAAAGCTTTGAGAAAAGCTATCTCATTAAAACTGAATAACATTTTTAAAAATATTATTCTAAAGTAATACAAGTGTGTTTGTATATACACATATATTATGTATACACGCCCTCGTATTAATTATACATAAATATGCATACGGTTATCATCTCTCTTTGAAAAATGTTATCAACATAAAGTGTCATCCTTGAATGTTAAGATTTATGCAACAACGTAAATGTAAAGAAACAATGCGACACGCGATGCACTTTTAGCGATATTATTTCTCGTCGTGCAGCTCATCTCTATTTATCCAACAATGCGCGTTGTCCTTGACATCCCTTTTTCCGGAGTGTAACGGAAAGGTACGTTGGGAGGGATTTTATTCGGTAGGTAGGGATATTCCTTGACTATAGGTGCGGGTTAAATTATTCGCGGTACGGCTAGTATATGCAAATAAGGGAGAAGGTGGAAGGATGCCGTCGCCGGATCGCAGGACCAGACGTAGAATATGCAAAATTTCTCTTATTAGACTTGCCGTGTCTCCTGTCTTCTTCCATGATCATTCCACCAGCCTCCTCCCACGCGTATCTACGTGTACATATTCGTGTACGTGAGTAGTATATATATATATATATATATATATATATACGTGCTTGCACTCGTGTCTGTACGTGTGAAGAGATCTTTTCTCGTCCCGGGTACGTCACCGTCTCGTTTCCTCTAACCGTCTTTCGACGTCCGTCAGAACCGGCCTCACGTTCATCCCGTTTTTCTCTACCACCTCCGTTCCGTCCTCGAGTCGCGTTTGCGTTTCCCGCACGTTTCATAACTAACGTAGCTAAATTTCTCATAGACAAGACGTACTCACTTGCAGTGCAGCAGAGCGCGCGTGCAGTCGCTCGTCCATTGAATCTGAGTGGACGTAATGGCCGGCTGGCCCGGCCACTCTTTCACCCACCTGTCGCGTTTCGCGAGCATTTTTCGCAGAGCTGTCCGACACTGCCTCAACACTTCGCGCAGGGTCACTCTCATCGCGGCCTCTGCAATTGCCACCCGCGTTTTATTCACGCTCGCCGCCTCGCGTTTCCATCCCCTTCTTCATCCCCCGATTTATTCCCTATGCGCGCGCGTTATTTCGCGTATTTTTATCTCTCGCAAACAGAAATCGAAGTTGTATGCGCTGATGTGCACGCGGGTATCGGGTAATTTACGACGGTCGTGGACCAACGTCGGGATTGAGCATAAATTATGGCCAATTTTCCAGCGCCGGCTTTTATTTACGCAACGACCGAACCGTTGTAAACGCTACTGAACACGCTGCGGGATACTGTAAATATTTGATGAGTCCATGTTCACACGTCGCTGATCTTTCTCCTAGTTTTCGCGCGTGCGAAAGAATTTTGTCGCTTCCATATGTCAGATGGAAGCGAAACCGCCGCCTCTTTCGATTTTGCAAAAAGCAATTTATGATCTTATAAATTCTCGCGTATATATATTTCCTCAGCGTGCGTTTTGTGTACGCGTGTAGATTTCGGTGAGATAACAGGAAACAGAATTTATAGGGATATATACCTAAATTCACGGAATGGTAACTACCGTGCGCGCGTTTGTCATGGAAAGAATATCGGATTTTAGAATTACACCGAGATGATTGCGTGTCTCTTTTTTTGGAATTTTCGCATTTTATGCTTTGCAAATTATTCTTCGAAATATATTTACGTATAAAACGAACTCACCGATATTGCGCAGCCAATATTCGACTTGACCCTCCAAGAGGACCGGTTCGACAAACTCGACGTACTCTTCATCGTTCGAGTATATGCCGTCAGCCACATGTTTTCCAGTCAGCGACTTGAGACGGAAAGATGCGATATTAAGAGTCTCGAGACAATGCGCTTACGTAGAGGAAGCAAATGTAGGAGAATAAAGGGACGGAGAATTACTTTGCTGAGCTTCAAGGACTTGATGTTCGCGAAGAGCTTCCTGATGTGGGACTGTATGAGGTCCGGTCTTTTAGAATGCGCGAGGATCTCCAGTATATCATCATTCGAGACGAAGTAAAGCCTCGGAAATATACATCTCTTGGTCTCCAGGTACTGCTCGAGCGCCAACTGCAACGCCTCCAACTTGTCATTGAGTTTGTTCAGGATTTCCAGCAAGCCAGCTAACAGGATCGCCAGGATGGGGAGCAAAGAAGAGGGGGAAACATGCAAATGCTTTCAATAGAATAGATTTACATCATTTTACAGTACGCGTACGCGTCGGCTCGTCGCTCGATTTTTTATCTTTTTTTTCTCTGTTTTTCTCTCTTTTTTTTTTTAGCGCCGGAAGCCGACACAGGCGGTTTGTACGTATCCATTTACATTAATACCCTGGCTCGGACGTAGCTTAAATAATTTTAATCCTAGTTTAACGCTCAGAGTGATCGTGCACGATAAATGCGGAATATATCTCTGGTGCAGTAATATTTTTTTCATTAGTTAATTGCATTTTACAAATATCCTTATTGAATACGTTTTATACTGAAAACATTAAATTTAGCATCTGGCTAGTGCACGTTTACATTGTTATATATAAAATCTTTTTATTTTTTAATTAAAAACAAGTTTGCTAGATTTTATTAATTAAAAGAAATATTTTGCCTCGTTTCTTTTTCACATATTATGGAATTATCTTTAAATTATCTTTAATTTTCATGTGACAATTTTGTATATGCATATTTTTTACAATATATAATATGTATAAAAGAAAGTATTATGATAACACATAATAATCCTTACAATAATTTAAGTTTTCATATAATAAATTATTATATACATCGAGTATCGGATTTTCTCGTAAGGTATCAGAGTTTCAGTATTGACCATTTGAAATTTTGATGAGTATAATTATTGCACATGTAAAATTAAATTGTAACATTATTTCTTTTAGAATATTAAATTGCTGTTAAATTTTCATAAACGAAAATTATGATTTTTTAAACATTTAATTCGAAGGATTCCTTGTTGTAATAATTTAATATTTTGTGTTGTAATAATACTATGGATAACATTTCTATTGTAATAGTTCCTTTGATAATATAATACATACGTGGATTATGAGTGGCTGATAGTGCCAAATCATAGGAAGCCATTCTTGATGTATATTCAGCCAACTCGCTCGTCACTTTGTCAAAATCATCGGCCTCCTTTGGAAGTTGTTTTTTTATGTCCTCGGTTGTGAATATATTGTCCAGATACACGTATTCTCTTTGTACCACCAGCACCATTTCTAAAACTTCTTCGATCGTCGACAGCGCCCGTTCCCAGTAGTCGACCTCTTGGGCAAATGGTTCGACGAATCTAGAAAAATTCAATATATAGTTTATTCAAGTCAAAGAAAATTGTTGGAAAAGTAAGAACGAAAGTTAATTTAGCTAGTACAATGCACCTCGTTGATTTCATGGATGAAAGCTGCACCTGATGATCTTCCAAAGTTTGCATTATGTCGTCTATAGCTTTTAATCTATATATTCCTTTATCCTTATATGGAACCATCGTGATCGGTATTGTTTCCCAAGTATCCTTAATACGTTGGAGTCCCTAAATAATTGCGTACGTATTATTTCGTAAAGTAGTGCCTCGCAATTATTATATTGTACGGTATTTGTATCGTTTTATTGACTCACAATTTCAATGACGAGTTCCATTGTGGCTGCGCTCGAGATTTCGCTAATCTGTTCCGCGAAATTATGCATTTGCATTTTAATAATCGCATCCAAAGTAAAATCTTCTGACGTCTCATCAAAGTCTCGACCGATCGTATCTTTGACCAGCTGCCAATGTCTCGGTCGCATTGCCGGATTTTTCAGTACTGTTATCAGTGGTAATGTGCGTCGAAATTTATCGACATTTAACCTGCGACACAAGGTTTTTATATACATATAATAAATTATATATAGAATAATTATCTATGTTTTTTTATTTCTAAATAATATAAAATTTATTAAAAGTTGAAGAAATGTGCATATATATATATATATATATATATATATATATACATATATATATATATATATCAGGAGACGCGGTAGCGTCTCGCTAAGTTATATCTTTTATTCGTCAAATTAAAATACAATCTACAAAAAAACAAAAAAAAATATCGAAAGATATCGAAAAGATAGCGAAAATATCGAAACAATAGCGAAAATTATCCGTAGGACTCTACTGTGTATCCTTTACCGGACGTAACACGATTTTCGCAACCTTGAAAACAAAAATTTGAAATATTTCATGAACGGAAACATATTTTTCAAAAGATGACCATATCAATCGAAAGCGCGAAATGAGACCTAATTCGTTACTAATCATCATTTTTAAGGACGTTTCGTAGTCAAAGGGCTATAATACAAAAACAGCGCTAAGTATTTTTTGTACATTACATTTTTTTTACTTTTATTTTTACTTTTATTTTTTAATTTAAATTAAAAATTTTTATTTAACTTTAAATTTTTTAATTTCCTAAATTTAATTCTTTGTGCCTTATATTACCTTTTTGAATATACGTTTAAATATATTTGAATTAAATAATTATTTAGAGATAAATAATTTATTTTTTATATATATCTATTTATCTAAATATTTTATAAAAATATATAATAACTTTACAATGTATATACATTCCAGTTTGAATTAATTACATAATTATTCATGTTATTTAAATATAAAGATGAATAAATATATATATATATATATATATATTTTACTGTATTTATTTTGTTATTGTATATATTATAAACGTTTTAAAATAAAGCAATAATTATACATTTGTATCATTATAGGAAATTTATCTAAATATTATATATTATGTTGTCACTTACTTAGTGCAACTTTTTGATTTGACTACTTTTTGATGCTAATATTTTAACCTTTTTTCTCGTATTATCAATATAATTATTTAGCGCAATTTTTTGATTTCACTACTTTTTGATGCTAATATTTTAATTTTTTTCTAGTATTATTAACAAAAATAAAATATAATTTATAAATATAATTTTTGAGAAAATATTTTTGATAATGATTAATTTTTGCAAAGAATTATTTTGGCTATAAACATAATTTTTGAGAAGATTATATTTTTTATTATTATAAAGAACTATTTTTGCTGACGAAAGATATAACTTAGCGCTTTTTTTTTACATCTGTAATGTCTTTTTTTGTGGGATATATATATATATATATGTATAAATTTGTAATGCATTTGTAAGATAATCACCTTTACGACATTGATTTCACTCGTGTAAATTGTTAAAAGAATGTAATTGTTCGCGCAAATAGTTAATAATTAAATAAGAATTTTTATTTAAAAATAAACTCAAATAATTATTTAAAAATATAATTTCTAATATTCAAAACTCATACGAAAATTTCTCATCAGAAAATTTCTTGCAATTCTTTCCATTGCATAAAGAATACTTTTTCTTTTGTATGCACAAACAGCGAGTTCTGCGCGCATATAGTTTTTTTCCATTTTCTCTTGTTTAGTAAACTAGGTTGAATTGTAGCTGCTGAAAAGTTACATAACCATTTGCGGAGCGTGCACTTCGTTAGTTTCAGAAAGTATCGTCGAAAGGAGTGGCACAAGTGTGGTCGATAAGTTCACATAAATTACACGTTTTAGCGATGCAAAAGTTAATAAGCGTCGTTGTGTAATATGTGAATATAAGCTATAAACTGCCTAAAATATACATCGTTCCGTTCTTACGAAAAACGATTATTTTTATCGTTGCTTATTCTTAAATATATATACATATATAGAATTTTTCAAATTTGTCGAAACTTGGCAAACTATTTTTTACTCTTCTTGTCATACACCACGACAAGTTGTTAAGATTAATTCACCATAATAAGATTAAAAGATTATTTCATTTGATATAATATTCGATGTTGCAAGCAACGTATATTTCAATTATCGACCATTTTCGTCGATTACGTCCCCGTGTGTGATCTCTCTCATCTTGTCATTTTGAAAAATGGCCATCTATCGCACGAGCGCAGTTTATAACGCAACAGATCGGTTTTTGGTTTTTGGCAAACGATAAATTGACATCCTGCTAAAGGATGGCAATCGCAAACGCTACTTTGCTTCGTAAAAAATTCACGAAAATGGTACATATTTACTGCACGTTGGAAATTCGATTTTATCTGGATCGCACCTAGTATTTTCGACAATTTCCCAGTTCTTTTCTTTGAGTTCTCTGCTGAGTTTCGTAAGTTTCCGAAGGAGGAGATTAGCGGTTGCGTCCATCTCTTCCAATTCTATCGTCCAGAAATTTCCGGTTTTGTAGCGTTCCCAAGCAGTGTTCCATTCGTCCGTCAATTGCCACACCAATTCGATCACGGCTACATCCTTCGCAAGTAGAAAAATGTTGAAACGTTGTGTAAGTACGTAAGATTAACACAAAGATGACATTTGAGCGACAAATGAGACATTTACTTTATTGAGTTGAGCGAGCTCTTGAGAATCTGGGTAATTTATGCCAAAAATGGTCAATTGTGATTTTAATAGACTCTCTCTATCTTTTAAGGAATAAATATCTTTCCAGAAAATTGCTACCCAATTTAAAGCGTCTGTAACAATAATAATAATAATAATATAGTAAAATGCGATACACAATAATAAAGTAAAATAATTGCAATGCCAATACTAAAATGAATAAATAAATAATATCTGATTAAAATCAATTTATTTTTTCGTGATTATTCATCTAACATTTATGTGTATCTCCAGATATATATGGAATTACCCGTAATGGTTGCTCGTATGTTTTGCACAAGCGAAGTTCATGAAAAATAAATTGGTCCAGTATTGACAAACGCATTTAAAACAGTTAAACGTGTTATGAATAAATAACAGGCTTGTATCTACAGTAGTAAAAGCAATCATTAGGATTTTTATTCTATTCTCTTCAAATTTTCACACAGACAATGTTACAAGTGGTCAAGGTTTTTCTCTAATACAAAGTTTTTTTTTTACATTTAATATAATTGTATAACAAATAAATTTTAAAATAAAATATTATTAAAAATATTTTTTAAAATATTCTATATATTCTTTTTTCTTTTACTCTTTTATCGTTTTATTTATAAATTGCACAAGCATTTTCTTAAAATTATAAATATTACTTTTTTTTATTTATTATTTTGCAAATCTAATATAGATTATAAAATAAATTTAATATACGTTGCGTCACGAACGTATATATTGTGCTCGAAAAAAGCTATAGTACATGATAATTGATTTATGCAACGATTCAATGCTATTTCAGAACAAACATAGATTTACACAACTAATGAAAGAGAATATGTTAATCAATTTACTCTTTGAATTCCAATCGGACGTGAAGGGCCCGGTATCCTTAAATCTACGCACCACAGAGGATATATCTTCTTCGAACATCGTCGCATCAGTCAACAATATTTGTTTAAATTCTTCCTGCAATTGTGTTAAAACAATATTAAAAAGACAATCCAAATTATTATGACAAAAGTAATTATGAGATTCTAATAGCCTTTCTTTACATATACGAAAAAGAATACAAATAACAACATATTGAGTTATTTAATTTTTATATAATACGTAAGAAGAATTTTTTGCTTTTTTACTAAATAATTTAAATTTTGTGAATATTAGAGTGTTTCTGATAGACAAAACTAATTTTTCAAATTATATAAAAATTCTTTAGATGTGATGAAATAACGTCAAAATTGAGAAAGTAATTAATTGACATCATATTTTCCTCTTAGTTAGCGTCGACATCAACGGCGACGGAACTCTATTTTTATTACAAAGTTCCTAGAAGTTTTCTTTTATATCGAGGGAATGCCGTACCTTTTTTTCGAGCAAAGTAACTTCGCACGTGGCAAGTAGCTCCAAGTAAGCCGCCCAAGAACGGCTGATGTCTTTTAATTTTCTTCTAAACTCGTAAGTTAATGGCACGTCGTATCTTTCTGAAAATTATTAAGCATCCTCTTCTTTGATCTAATATACGTAATTATATAAATATACATATATAGATAGTTGAACATAATATCCGTCTATAGAGTTTATACTTCGTAAATTTGAAGTCTGAGATAATTTCAAGCAAGACAAACATAGATTTGCAAAATTTATATAGATCGTTTTACACATTCTTGAGCAACAGATAGTAAATTACGATCTTAAGATCTGCTGATTTTATGGTGAATCAATTTTCTTATTTAACACGAAGAAAACATTTGAAGATTTACCCAAAGTTTGGAACTGCTCGTGGATCTTAGGAAACTCTTCCTCCTCTTTCGAAATCTCGGCGGTGAGCCTCTCGAACAATTGCAGCGCGGATTGCATGCTGATGAGATCCGTCGGTTCCTTCATTATTCTGCAAACGAATGAATTCACGTACGATTCAGTTCGAAATTCAAAAAGGCCTTGTGACAAAATTTATGGGAGCAACGCCTTGCGAGCAACGCCTCTCCAATGTTCCGCTCGGCTTGAGAAAATTTACATTAATAGTATCGATCGAGAACACTGAAAACGAATATAACTGAAAGATTCAATTATGCTATAGAGAGGAATAGATAATCACGCTTGAATTCTGGAAAGGACAATTTTTTTAGCACAGAGTAATGAGCATAAACATTATTTACGAACTGCGGACACAGTTAATTTTTTAAATTAAAATTTATATATATATATATATATATATATATAATAAATTAAATACAAATATCACATTAATAATAGACAGTAGAAATATATGATTAAACATATTTGATATAAAAAATATTTTTCTATTATTCCTTTTCTGTATCAAATTTTTTTTCTAATTCTAAACGGAAAAATTTTCTTTTTAATTTGAAAAATTTGATTCAAACAATCACGCAGACAACTAACTTTGTGGAATTTTCAGCGATGTAATGATAAATGTGGTCGACCATTGCATCGGTCATACGTAACAAAAGTGCGGTGAGCTTCTGTTGCCAAATTGAACAGTGCTCGATGATGGTGGCTTTCAATCCATCAGAATTTATATCGAGGAAATGCACTGTCGTCATTGTTTCCTGTAGTTGGACGCTATTCACCACATCGATGTATTTACTTATATCCGCATCAAAAGATGCCCCTGTTGGTTTCAACTTTTCATATCTAATTTGTAAAAAAGATGTAATAACTTTATAAACTTTATCACTTTATAAAAATAAAAATATTTAAAATGTATGAAGTAGATATTTCACGCCTTAAATCACATTATAAAAGTAGATTACTTATGCTTTATTTTGTTTGAAGAAAGAAAAAACGAAAGAGAGCATAAAAAATTTAAAGTACGAAATATTTAAATAAATTTTATATAGTACTGTATGTACAACTGTAATAATTGTTTACATAAATTAGATAGCACATAGAATGAGATGTAAATAATATAATTTTCAAGTTTTGTAGTTTTTCAAGCTTTTCAAGCTTTTCAAGTTTTTCAAGTTTTATTAAACAAACAAAAATTATTTAAATCATCATTTTAAATGATACTATTATTTGCATTACCTTTGAATATATAGATCTTTATTTACTTCCCATACATCTTTAAATGGTTCCCAGATCTTGAGATAATTTTGCACTTGAGCAAAACAATAACTTACGTCTGTAAATTGACAAATTAAATTTAGTATGTTTATTTTAATATAGCATAAATAATCATTTTATTGAATTAGAACAGTTAAATAATATCTAATTATGATCGCGTATATATTAATATACTAAGACTATTTTACTATTATACATATATTAATATGAGTAAGAATATATAATTAATAAAGATAAAAGAATATCTTGCTGTTACATATTAATTAAAATATTAATTTAAAATTAGATATATTTTTATTAAATTTCAGGAAAATTAAATTAAAGTGAAAATTGCAATTAAATTAAAAACGATTTCTGATAAAGAACAATTTAAAATTAATTAATATTCTATTAATTTTAAATTTTATCTATAATCCATCAAATTGTATCAATTATGTAGATGATCATTATAAAGAAGATAAAAGCAAAAAAATATTGCATTTCTGACAATGAAAAAATAGTCCGAGATTTGCTTGTTTCTTTAATAGATAAATTATAATAAGAGTGCTATTTATCGTGAATAAAATAAAAATGATCAATGACGGTATAGACGAATATCATTAAAAGCCACATTAATTATAATGTATTTTTTTAAGTAGGAAAAATCATTGAAAAAATATAAAGGAAATATAGAAGCTATATAGAAAGCTTCATGATACGACCGTTATTGAGTTTCTGTTGGAGTTCAATCAGCTCTTTGTCCTCCTTGTACAACTTTGGAAAGGGAAAGCTCTTGTCTCGAAGCATTTTAAACTTCTTAACTAGTCGCGAAACATCTTTCAAGGGCTCCAACAAAATATTCAAAATATTTCCTATTACTGTAGCTATCTCCAAAAGGCTTGGTACAAAGTTTATCTACATAAATCAAATAGTAAAATACTTAGAGAAAAAGTCTATATATGTGGGATCCGCGAAAAAGAATCGGGCCTTCGGGTGACTAGACCGGGACTCGAACCCGGAACCTTCCGCTTGCCGGGCGACTGCTCTAACCATTAAGCTACCTAGAGGCCCTCTGCCTAACCTTCTCGCATCACCCACTTACGCGTTATGGAGGAGTCCCGATCCTACACTCGGCCGTCCTGCATTGACATTCGCCCTCGAATGTCGCCACGCGCTAGTGCCACTGGGCTTTTGGGCCTCTTTCCCACCCCCAGCCAACACCCGCAATCGTCTCTTAACTCGTTTTGCCTCGTGCAGACCGAATCCTGCCTCCATCCCGGACGAGCCCCCAAATGTGGGATCCGCGAAAAAGAATCGGGCCTTCGGGTGACTAGACCGGTACTCGAACCCGGAACCTTCCGCTTTCCGGACGACTGCTCTAACCATTAAGCTACCTAGGCCCTCTGCCTAACCTTCTCGCATCACCCACTTACGCGTTATGGAGGAGTCCCGATCCTACATATATATATATATTTATATATATATTATTTTATTCTTGTAATAAAACTTTAAAATGACTAAATAGAACATTTTCGTTATTATCAGATTAGAAAATGCAAAATTATCATTATCTACTTATACATGCGAGACCTTTATAGTTGAACAATGTATGTAATACGCTGTTGCATGGTATGTTAAACATGTTATGGATAGTTACGAACATACTTTGTTATCGATAATATCCACTTGCACTAATAAAAGGGGTGAGGGTCCTGTCGTATCAGCACCGTGAACAGCTTCGAACATAATCATTAAAGAATTCTTCAAACAAAACCTAATGGCTTCCTCAATTACTGTATCGATCTTTGTCAAATAATCTTTCCATTCCGCACGACTCTAAGTAGTAAAGAAATGAGATATATATTAATTTACTGAAAAAGATTGCGAGAAAAATTGAAGTGCTAAAAAATTGTAAGAAATATAATTATAAAAGATGAAATAAGTGATTGCGCAAGGTGTTAAAAATTTGATAAATGCTTATCAATTCTGAGAAAGCATGTCAAAGTTGATATGAAAAATTTAATGTACAACAGATATCGAATAATCTCACGATATTAACTTAATTATTTGATTGATAAATTATAATGGATCTGATAGAGGATAATAGACCAAACATGTTATGCTCGCTTACGGCGAGGTTCTGCGACTCTTTGGAGACTTTTTGAATTAACCGAGAAGGCACGTGCTCACTGTGGCAGTCACGTTACGGAACGACATATCTTAACACGAATCTGCCGTAAGTACGCCCTTTAGTTCCCCAACTTTAGTTAGACGAGAATTGCTTTGTGTAGCCTGCGGGCGTGCAACGTACACCGTTTCCTTCGCAAATATTCTTTCGTCGAAGCTATTTGGTCATTTTTACGTTTGCGAAGTTTTTACGGGAAAAGGATTTAACTTTACATAACTTGTCAGACATTTGCTGCCAACCAGCAAATTGCCTCGCGGTACTTGCTGAAGTTTATAGAAAATGTTAAAAAAATTCAATAATTTTTGCTTCATATATAGATTTATTACAAATCATATATATATATATATATATATATATATATATATATATGTATATTTTTTTTTTGTTATTTTCACCAAATTAAAATAATTTCTTATACATCAGTTTTTTTAGACAGATTTGCCGCCCTTTTTACTTTTTTTTAAATAATTACTTAGTAGTATTAAAATGTGCTATATAACACAGTAATAACGTAACAAATTATTTCTATAATTACAAAAATAATATATTTATATTTGCTCAATTTTGCAGTTACTTTAAAAAAGCTGTACCTCTTCTATCACATGTTGAAAACCCTCATAAATCTCCATGATGTATAGAAATATCATATCCAGTCTTTGAGTCATAACTTGGAATGTCTCGTCTCTGGAAAGTGAGAAAGTTCGACCAATGCTCGTTTACCAAGCGTTAAGTTTCAGTCACGTGTCTAGAATTGCCGCAGCGGTATGCGAAATGGAAATCCTACCGTACGTGCAAGAGCTCCTCTTTTAATACGGACAATGTGTATGTGTAATTAACTCTTATTTTGATCATTGGAGTGTCACAGATCTTCTCACAGATTCTCATGATCTCGGCGTTCGAGTTCTTGTAAGTGTCGATAAACTCTTGAAGCTAAAGCGACAAGTAATTTAACGTTTTTATTTGCCATTTCGTTTATCACATATAAACAACCGTTCATTTAAATTGCCTTAAATTAAAAGATAATTATGTTTAATTATGTGATTTCATGCGTTGCTTGAAAAATAAAAAAAAGAGAATATGACAATTTTCGAAGAACGAGGATAGTAAAGAGGATAGATTAACTTAATATTGCCGAGTTCAATGTTCCGTTATCTATACATACGCATATTCATTTGCATCGTAATTATTCCGTTTCTGCATTACATAGAGTTCGTAATTAATTGTTCAAACGCAGGTAGATAGCGAGAGGACTTCTCTCGGGCAGTTCAGAATTAAATTTTACCGCGAGGCGTCCCGTACATATTGCATGAATTTACATGGACTTCGCACATGGATAAGGTAAGAGGCTCTAAGCGTACATTGGCCGTTTCGTTGAAACAATCCTCAATATACGCGTCCACGTAATCCGTGCTCCACGTCAGCTTGGTTAAGCCGGGATTGATCCTCCGGTCGAGCTGCCGAATTAATTCGCGAAACAGCGCACGTTCTGTCAGCGACAATGCTGAAAAATACAAGTTTCGCTACGTTGCGAGAATATTTTGTTACCACGAGAGAAAATTATCGCGTGTGATTGCAAAGACAGAGAATATCGTTTTTTATCGCGCCATTATGGACATGTGCTTCCCTTAAATCATGTCATATTTGCACATGCACTCGCATTTTAATCAAAGTATGTGTATTCAATATAGCTCAAGGAAAATAAATTAATATTGTATATGTATATGTGTGTATATTTGATACATAAACATACATATATGAATATACAGTAACTAAATTTATTTTTAAATGTTTATGCAAATATTATAATTATATTTATGCACATATATATATATATATATATATATATATATATATATTCATAAATAGATATATTTAATAATAACAATGTTATAATACACCTAAAATAATTCGAAAAAGAAAGCAATGAATAATATAATTATATCTTAATAATTTAATAATATACAGCATATATTTAAAAAAAATCAAAAAAATAATTTAGAGATTATATATTAGAAATAATTAAATATAAAATTTTGTTAAAAAGTCAAAATATATTGTCGAGTTTTACTTAAAAGAGAACTCTTTTACTAAATCAGTTTTAATGGGCTACTTTATCTAATCATTTGGCACATAATTATTGAAATCAGCGAACCTTCGATAATCCTGTTATACGCCAACGTGACGGCGAGGACACTCTCGTATATGAAGTGCAGCGTGTTCCACTTGTCATGTATTAGTTGTATATTTACAGGTATATTGAATCGCAGGCTAATCCAATAGGAACACTCACGGCAGAGGTTCAAGATATTAGAATCGATATTACACTCCAGAAAACCGGATTTACTATCGCTACGTCGTATTAGACAACGATCGAGCCGCGTACGCGGATTTTCGCCTACGTCGTGCAACCATTTCGTGTGCAGATCCTTCATCGAGTCCTCGATGGATCTGATCACGATGTCTTCCTGATGATAGATCTCCTCGCTCATGGCGCAATAGGGCATCCACTCGGCCTTCTCCAGCATCTTTCGCGTCGATAGCAGACGGTCACCTTTTAGACGAAGATTCAACGCTCTACCAGCGTAATACGGAGTAAACGAAGGATATTCTTCCCTCTCGTCCAGGACCTCCTGCTTTGTCCGTTGAATATCGTCGGCAAAGATCTGCCATACCTGAACAAAAATAATTCAAAGTTGCTAGTTTCAAATGTTACTTATTATTACTTCAACGATTTAGAATTTGACATTTGCGCAGATTATTGGCATAAATCGCTAAAGACACGAAAATATGTACATCTTCTCTGTATAAAATTTTAGATCTCCCTGTATAAAATTTCAGAATATAGAAATTGTTATAAGAAATAAAAATTTATAGATAAAAAATTATTAGAATAAACCAATAAGAGCTTTACATACATCTTTGTCATCTTTGTAGATGTTTTCAAATTTTTTTACAATAAGAATTATTTATTAATATTATTATTGTGTAATATTGATACTATTTATTAATATTAATTAATAATATTTTTAATAATATATTAATAATTATTTAATAATATAATTAATAACATAATTGATTTATTAATATTTATTAGTATTATTATTAATTTATTCCTTCTTACGCTGGTATTTTTGCTATCAAACAACGACTTTAAATTCTTGCGATTCGAATAATTGTAGAAGCTCCTCAGATCTTCAATTCCCTCTTGAACGTTATTAACGTCCATGAAAACGGTGGCTATCAAGTTTTCAATCATTATCTCCAAATCCCTCATTTCGCTACGAAATATGATCATATTATCGTGCCACGTAGAATTGTGAACGACGAAAATCTTATCCGAATTGGTCTCGATTTTGTTCAGACTTTCAAAGAAGAGTCTTTCAATTTTTTGACATACTCTTTCATACTCTTCACCATTTGTACCGCTAAATTTGGGACTTGAAATCTGAGCGGTCTCGTCCGACCTGTTGTTGAAAAATCGTATCGTTATTCATGAATATGACTGCGTAAATTAGTATCTCGCATTTATTGAAAACAGTAGAAATAAAATCTGAATTATTCTGAATGCATATGACAGTTACATTTTTTGAAAGAAAATATCGTTCAAATGAAACATAAAAAATATATATTGTATATATATAGTATATTTTTGCTTGTTGTCTCTACGCTGTATATTATTTGAACCTTGCAAAATCAATCATCGCTTGACAAATCTCGATCATATCCTGACACCTGCCGATGAAAACGTCGATGTAACGAAATATACTCTCTGTGTCTAAGTCCCAGGGGTGAAATGTGAGATTGATGTGAGCGTTCGCAATCTGAAAATTATAGAACAAAATGTGTTTAAAAATTTATTTTATTGAGACAGATTTTTTTATTTTTTATGTGATTTTTTATTCGACACACACAAAAATGCAAATGAAAATGTCTATATTATAACACAAACGGTGTTTTTCAGTTAATTTGAGATGTGCTGTAAAAAAATTAATGGAACAGAAAAAACGAAAGAGATGAGAGAATTCGCTTGTATTATAATTCACAAAAATATCTAAAAATATATTTAGGAAAATATTTAACTAATACTTGTTTACACAAGATATACATGTATCTAGAAAGAAATTATTCGAATGACGTAAGAATGCGAAGGAGTGTGGACACGCGTTAGCGACCCATAAAACGGCACGTAATGCGATTACACGGATTTCTGCACAAAAGTCTAAGGAGTCATGTCACCTATCCCTCGGGCACACATGGCGTGCTAACCGTGGCGCAACTCGAGAACAAGTAGTCAGGAGAGTCGGCGTATCGTCACACCGTTTCCCCAATTCCCACCTCTATTCCGACTTATCTGCCCACGGGAAAAACGTAAGTCGGTGTTATATTGCGATCTCTACTTGGAAGAAAAGCCCTTTTTATCTTACTGTTTTGTACTTTTAAGAGGAGCGTTTTTCTAAGATAAATTGCGCGCTATTCCATCTTTAAATTTTAATTTCCTTAGCGCGAAGACGATCCTTTATTTGTGACTCTAAACTCGCAGGAAACTATTCTGCGAGATAGTTCTTGTTGGTTGTGCCTCGTTACACTTGAAATTATCATTTACAATCATAATTACTGCTGAAAACCGAAATCACTTTGTAACTCTTCCGCATTAACGGAGAGCTTCATCTCCTCACGTTGTCCAACGAGGGGTCTAAGTAGCTAAAGTAACTGTGCACACATAATTTAATGGGACTTTAACTCACCGCTTGTGGAAGGTGAATTTGCAGATAGCATAAAGTACTACGTTTTATATGCTTTTCGTTTATACGATCACTTGCTAACATTTAAATTCACATGTACTTTATAGAAATGGATTTTTACATATTAATTATTAAAATAAATATGCGACAAGTTTAAAAGCTATACGTAGACATATATTCATTATTATAATTATTATTATAATAACTTAACTCGTTTAATTGTTAACAATTGGAGAGAAAAATTTTAATTAAATTTAAATTGTGAATGAAATATGTAATAATTATGCATTAACATAAAATGTGTATATATGTTACATAATTTAAAAAATGTATGCATAATAATTCTATAAATATACGAGCCATTAACTTTATTGACTAATTGTTTCTATAAATAAATTAGGTTCTGTAAAATATATTATAGAATTTATTGTTTTTACAAAATTATATTTTTTATTTATTTAACATTTTTAAATATATTTTTATATATCAAATATACTTCTATGCAATAGTAAACTTTTGATATAAATAATATATCTACACGCGCACACATATTAACCCATACAGCACCGATAGATTGCAAAGACATTACAACAATCTTTCACCGCAATATTGCAATATTGCAAATTCACTGCAAAATGTTGCTACATCATTGCTGTTGAATTGCAGCAATGTTAAAATGTCCGCTTTTTGGAAGATTGCAACAAATATTACAACAATATTGCAATATGTTATGAGTTTGCAATAATGCTTGTTATTGCAACCATAAACTAATGTTGCATATACAGGTATATAAATGTAAATAAATCATTAATGAAAATACGTTGTAGTTCATTTATATATATTACAATATATAAATTATAGAATTTGGATTACATGCAATATTTCCGAAATATTAATGTCATGTTGCTACAAGTGTGCTGGAATTTTGTGCACTTATATCTCTGCAATGTCTTTATAATGTTGCATTGCAACTTGCAACATTGCAACGTTGCTGCAATATAATTGCAATAATCTGTGCTGTATGGAAAATATATATGTTAATATATGTATATATAATAATGTGTATGTGTATGTGTGTATGAATTTAAAGTTTAATGGCGCATAGAGAGAAAGAGAAAAAATTTTCTAGATTATATTAATATATATATAAAAAGCATAAATTTTTACCTCATAGTAAAGAGTCTTATAATCATTGCACAATTTGATACATTCATCCAACAACTTCATACTCTTTCTAGTCCGTCCCGCAAATACGTCTGCTAGATCGATGAAGTCTTTGCACATGACGACGATCTGATTGCTAAGAGCACTGAAGAGATTGCTTATCCTCTCGCAGGTATTGTAGTAGGGGGAGTTTAGCCAAATCGTCCTGAAGAGATGCATCATTTTTGGCAGATATTGAGCCACGTTTGCGGGAGCCGTGCAAGTTTTCAACTCGGCAGAAGTGTCCTTCAGAATGCTCAGGAACTCGATGTTCGATTTTGCCTCGACAGTACCGTGCTCGATTTCGTCCTTCAACATCAGGAATTGCCGTACATAAGTGGACTGTGCAGCCAATAATATGTCAATAATGAACTCCACCGTATTTTTATGCAACTGATGATTCAAGCCGCACAGGTTGTTGTCTAATAAAAACAAATAATATCGCTTATTAAATTCAATTATCATTACAGCACAAATTAAATCTCAAATAAAATTTGAAAATAAAACTTTTCGCTTTCTTATAAATATATACAAAATAGATTAAACTAACAAAAATTCTACGTTTTACACTCTCCTTACTATGATTAAAAGTTCTAAAATAATGATATAAATTTCTTTGTAATTCTATAAGGTACACATGACAATGGGATTTTGCTAAAACATTCCGTATTAAAGGAAACTTTTGTCCCTCCTAGAAAATCTCGCGGATATATATTATCAAGAAAACGCAATTCTCGTAGCTTTTACGTCTTTTCTTAGGAGTAAGCACTAACATCGATAAGTCCAGAAGTCATATTCGTCGTCGAGGCATAGTAACTCGTGCGGAGTTGCCTGTTCCTGGTCAGAGAGAGCTATTTTGATTTGGGTGGTCCAGTGGGCCACGACACCCTCCAGCCTCTTCACCAACTCCTTATCGACGCTACCCTCTTCCACAGTGAACTCCCTACTCTCCAGAGGTACATATATCACGGTTAAGCCCAGCATTTTGTACGTGAGGTCCGTTAAATTGCACAGAAAGGTGTCCAGTTTGTTGCAGAAGTCCGCTTTCACACATGTGTTTCGGTGCGATTAAGGAAAAGAAAATCCAGAAACGTGATGCAACACCTAGTTATCGCTGTTCCCGATACAACCATTTTTTATACCGTTATTTCGACGTCTATCACATGGAATTGCACCGTGTACGCGGCTGTTACATATGCGCTGATGGAGATTTATTGAACTGAATTGCCCACTATATCGTATATCGAAATGATCGACTACCTTGTCATTGTTACATCGATTTATAATCAGAAAAAAGTGAATAAAAATTGCATTTGAATTAAAATCATTTATTTAAATCTTAAAGATTGAGACTAAAACGTTCTACTATATATATATATATATATATATATATATATATATATATATATTATGTTATTGCAGATTATATGCCGTTGTAAACTTCATAAAATTCACTATTAAAATGAGATATGTATGTACATTTTTTTCACGAGCGTTTCCTATGAAAAATATTAATCCCACGTTCAGACTGAGATCTTTAAATTATTACTAATCGTAAGATGAATTAATAATCACCGAGATAGATATACATATGTTGCAGAGATAAAGAACGTCAGTAAGCAGAGGCAGAGTTTCTGAATGTTCTGATGTACAATTAGCAAAGGGACGCTTCGATCCGGTTAAAATCCGCTCAGGATCCATTAGAAATAATGAAGTGGCTCCCGTCCGCGAATGCAACGCAATCGTTTCTAACTCGACAGCGGAGTAATCCCGTTCGCGTACGTAGGCAAACATCGACGCTGGATTTACCAGGGACGGTGAGTTGTGCAGTGCATTTAGCCGAAAATTATGGTAATAATAACTTCATGCAATTCCCTGGTGTCCCTGCTTTTCCGCCGCCCGTTTCGCGGACAGTCCGGAACTTTGTGTCGTGCGTTGCGGTAACGGGATTGCAGTGCTAAAGTTGGAAATTCAGTTGGTAATGTCATCACGTTAGATTGTTATGACCTTAAGTCAGAGTAACTATGGACGATCGCGATGATCGCCCTTGGCATTGTGAGACCGGTCCGCCTTGGCTCCTTTATCACGAATTGACACTATACAGGCACTCATCGATCATTCTGTATGCATACAGGATTATCGTGCCATCGCAACTGACACCTCAAGGGATAGACAGTAATATTTTCAAGACCTACATCGATTTATAAAAATAGCATTTTATATAATTACTGTGGGAGATTTTCAATATTAAAACAGAGAGAGAAACGTTATAATAATTAAAGAAACATTAAAAATAATACGAACATGATATATACTTAGAGCAAGAGAGCATATTAATTATTCGCGAATTATGTAACAAAAAATGGAAAAAAAACTACATGTGAGGTAAAAGTTGACTACGGCAGAATATCCGAAAATCCAATTGCCTCGATTGGATTGAAATTGCCTCGCAAAAATCGATCATATATCAGTATATATCAACGGATTCAAGCGGGAGATAAAATGTACGATGTCTCCCCTGGGCGTCCCTCGGCGGTGAAGCTTTTTAAACGTACATTTAAATCCGCGAAAAACTTTAAATCACCGCCGACTGCAAAATCAACCGGTCGCGGAACGCGGGATTTGAAAGTTAAACAGAATTTACATCGCACGGTGAAGCGCGGTCTCAAGTGGGTCACTCGAGGAGCCGCAAGAAGACGGGATATCGCGCCTGGACCCAATTAAAGTTTCGTAACTCGCGATCTGTACACGTACATTATTTGCCGAAACAAAACAAAAAGAGAAGAAGACGAAAGAGAGAGAGAGAAAAAATGAGAAAACTTTTGCGGGCCTTTCCTGTTGGCCTATCGTTATACATCCTTCGGTTCTGCAAATTCACGTCGCTCAGCCTCGGTGCTACTCGCGAAACTTTTCGCATTAGTTGCGCGAATTAATTGGGTGGTTTGACGGAAATGCAATAACAGATATGGAGAGGTAGCACGGAGAAGGATACTGTCCGGCCAAGTTTCGATTGTGAAGAAGATCGGCGCGAACACGTTCTGGATGACGTTCAGTGTATGGTCCTCCACCTTGTAGTTCAACGACCCGAAGAGAATGCGCTCGCGAAAGTTCTCCGGGTAGAGAATCTCGTTGGGCTGTCTCACGAAGTAGGTTAGCTCGTGCACGGGTACCGTAGGAAATGAAAATTCTGTGGTCAGGTCACCGTTCACGTGATAGACGCAGAGGGCCGGAATGCTTGGGTCGTGGAAGAACTCGCGGATGTCCCTATCGCATTTCCACGTCCAATCGCCATCCGTCAGACCGCTCAGCGTTGTCATGTCCTTAATACACTGAATCTGAAAAAGGTTCCAAGGGTACCGAATTTTTCCGACTTCCTGCTTTCGGTACAAGAGCGCGAATAAATATTTTTCTTTTGTTTCTCAACGTATCTTATTTCTCGAAATATATGATTGCGAAATATGAAGATTAATCCAAGTTGTTGAGATATATCATATTTATTTATTTGTCGCTAGCGTTTATACAATCAAGAGATTTTATAGTTGTGTAAAATTTTCTGGAATAAATACAAGTGTCGTAAGAAATAAAATTAAAAAAATATCATTTAATCTTAAAATTATACGTTCAATTTAAAATATAAATAAAAAGTTATTACTCACCAATTTGTTTATTTCGTCCATCCCATATATCGGACGCAATTCGTCTTCTTCATCCCCTTCGTCTTCACCTGCAACAATATCCACTTGAGACAATCTCCACTACGGAATCTACGGATTGTGGATCCTGAAAATAAAATTTCATCTGCCCGCGCGGTCGTCCGCGTTCGCTGAAAAGGCGTTCTCTCGTAACTAATAAGGGTCATTGCAAAGAGGAAACAAATTCCAGGGGAGGCGCCGGCCGTTCGTTAGTCGTCAATTGGAGCGACGGCGCGCGATGGGTCCTCCTAAATCCGCCAGCCAGATTAAATAGAAGACATTCGTTTTAAGGGTCTGTCTCTCTCGCTCTCTCTCTCGTTCGTTCCGATATCATTCCTCAGGCCTTCTCCGCAGTCTCGATCCCATCCCGGGATCCATCCACCGCCGCCCGTTTGCCATCCGTGCCTTTGCTCTTGGCAATCTAATAGGAACTATAAATCGCAAGTAGAGCTAGTAAATTGACGGAAGAGGAAACACGTCGCGTCGCAATCGAGAGACGCTACCGTAGGCCACGTTGGAGCGATTTATCCTTCCGCTATGATAGCGGACATTATGCAGATACGACGATGTCTTCTTTCGCGACATCCAGCGAACTTATCAGGCTCACGTGTATATTTCCTCGCAGATATTCGCAAAATTATTAAACGTTGCTCAGCACGGTGAAGGAGATATCAGAAATAAAGTCGAACAATAATCTGAATGATAAATCAGTATTAATATATTATTTGATCCAAACATTATCTGGTCTGATAATAAATATTGTGTATAGCACAGATGATGATTCTAAACAATATCCTCAAAATTATTAAACGTTGCTCAACACGGTGAAGAAGAAATCAGAAATAAGTCGAACAATAATCTGAATGATAAATCAGTATTAATATATTATTTGATCCAAACATTATCTGGTCTGATAATAAATGTTGCGTATAGCACAGATGATGATTCTAAACAATATCCTCAAAATCATTAAACGTTGCTCAGCACGGTGAAGAAGAAATCAAAAATAAAGTCGAACAATAATCTGAATGATAAATCAGTATTAATATATTATTTGATCCAAACATTATCTGGTCTGATAATAAATATTGTGTATAGCACAGATGATGATTCTAAACAATATCCTCAAAATTATTAAACGTTGCTCAGCACGGTGAAGGAGAAATCAGAAATAAAGTCGAACAATAATCTGAATGATAAATCAGTATTAATATATTATTTGATCCAAACATTATCTGGTCTGATAATAAATGTTGCGTATAGCACAGATGATGATTTCAAACAATATCCTCAAGATATATGATTCAGAGATTCAAATGTTATTCGATAAAATGCTGTTGATCTCTTTTCCTTTTTAACGTCATCATCAAAGAACGCGATCACTCTGTGTCGTATAGATAATTGAATTTACGTGGTCTCTGCAGATTAATGTGAGATCAGATAGAGGATTTTACTGCAGTCGGCCGAGGGACAAAATCACCGTTCTCCATCATCCGTAACGCAACGTGACGTTAATTGTTTGCGGATCACGGATTTCTAGATCCTGCCGTTTCTTCTCGCTCGTGTTCACGTGGAAGAATAGATTCTCCGGATAATAACGTTAGTTCGCGTAGGATAGACGCGCGCATAGGTAAGCTTGCATATAGATTATCGGTTTACCAAGTTCACCTACTTTCGCGGATCGTGCAAATACCACGAGAACTCGCGGAGGGGACGAATTAGCTTCATTTTCACTAGGCGGATGCGATCGCGGAGAATCAAAGGGGAGTAAATTGCCATAATTCCGCATGGAGGGAGAGGGACAAATTAGGAATCTGCGGGCAATCTGCGCGGAATCTGCGAATGACCGATTAATCGTCGCAAAGTAGTTGGCTTACGCGCGATATATTATAATTTGCAAAATCGAGATTCGGGATAGTTGTTAATATACCGAACACTCTCTCGACGTGCGATCGTACATGTTCATTTCTCCCTCTCTCTCAAACACACACATTTATCTCGTCTTTAAAATTATCGTGGAATTTATGATTATCGAATACACTCGCGGTATTCAGCGTATACAAAACAGCCATTGTAATTGCAAATTGGATGCGGCCATCGTCGAATTCGTGTTCAAATTCAAGCGCGTCGAGCTGTCGAGCGTACTTGCTTCAAATTAGCCGCATTATGGTTAACGTGGCCGTTATTATTGCTGCCTTGTTAATATTTGCAGAAGTATCGAGGAAATTATATATACGGTTGTCGTAACGCGCACGATTCGCGCCAACCAACAAATGAATTAAATAAATCCGTCCTGTTTAATTAATCAACGTCGCGCCGTAACAAAGTTATTCAAAAATTTATCAGTGATACGTATCAATCATGGATATCCGATCTAGAGATAACTGAATTACACACATCATGATTTAGGGTATATCTGAGAAGGATGTCGTGGAATAAAACCGGATAATTCGCCATTCGTCATCGAGAATCGCGTGGAAAACGAAAGTAATTTAATATTCCCCTCACGAATACTATCCTCATGATCGATTCCACGGATATCCTTGAAGATTTAATGGGGGAATTAGAAGGACGTGCGCGAGAAAGCAAGATATCGTACGAAACAGTGGTTGAAAACGATGGCTCGAAAATGTCGGAAATAGAACAGGCGGAGTGAAGGAGAAGAGCCGTGAAAAAGGAGCGGAAATTCGCGAGAGCAAAGAAAATGGAAAGGGAGAGGGAGTGGATACATTTAATATTTTTCTCGTAAATCTTACCGCGCCTTTCCGCTTCATCGCTGGACTCGGCGTCCAAGTACTCTCGGCGTGGGTCCGGGGGCGGCTTATCTTTAACTTTATTTCTTCGTCTTTGCATTTTATTGACGGGGTGGCCTGCCGGCGTCGTCACCTCCCTCACACGAGCCTGTGCAGCTGATTTATGCGCCCGGTCCGACTGTTACGGCAACGAATCTTTCAGCGTTTTCGCCGTAGATATCCTCGAGCATCGTTGCGAAGTTGCTCGAGAGCAAGAAGAATGGTTTCGGCGGTAGATCGGCTTTTGGACCGATCGTTCGTTGTCGAAGAGGTTCTCAATATCTCATAAGAAATATCGCCGGTAGTTGTTTAGATAAAATTTTCGATTACGCGAAAAGAGAAGTTGTGTACCATTTTTCGTCATTCGTGATCGTTATACGTGAGAATTTATGTTATTTATTAATATGTAAAATTTATTTAAATGTTTTGTGTTGTTAATTTTTTACTTTGTATTGTATATACTCTTAATATTAAAAATATATATATTTATTTATTGTTATTAAGTTATTTATTCTCTTCTTATAAATTAAAGCTTCAGAAAGGTAGTGAAAACTTTCCACTTCGTTACGTACATTACACGTCCCGGTGAGCAAATCGCGGAACTTCAGTTTATTAGGTTCATTGTGGCCGCTTATTCGTTAAAATTACGTGCATTACCTCATTTCAAAGCTACTATCTCATTTGCGTTAGAGAATAATCACGTGCATTTTATGCATGAATAATTGCTGCATCTGTTATAAGACCGAATAATATCAACTATAGGGCAATCTTAATAATGTAACAATTTTTTTTTATTCATTTGATTTTGTATATCGTTTTTATAAAAGTATCAAATAGTAAGATAAAAAAATAATAAACTTAGAAACGCACATATAAAAGAGAGCGCATTTTAAGGATAACAAGCTTTTTATGGAGCTTAATTTAAGGAACTTATGGAGGAAAAATAATTCGTATATGTTTCTGGAAATATTAAAATTTTATATATATTATCTTTGACAAAATCATCTGCATAAATTCGTGAGTTACAATTTGCTAAAATAAAGCTAATTGTAAAAATAAAAACATACGAATTTCGCTAATTATTAATTTGCCTAATTGCACATTAATGAAATTTGCTAATTTTCAAATAAATTTATTTTTATCGCTTAATAATATTATATATCACACACATTATAAATAATTTGTGAATAATATAAATACGTTCGTAGATTAGTAAAAGAAATATTGACATTTTTGGTTTCAATTTTTACGCGTTTTGATGAAAGATATTTTAACAATGCAATTAGAATTTAAAAGAATAAAAAAAAATATATATATTTAAAATTGTTTTAAAAAAAATTAAATTGAATGCTTAATTGCTTCTAAAAAGTATAAACATTGAGATAGAAAAATTATATTATATATATATTCAATAAAAGTTTAAACACAAGAATTTTGTAAAAGAATTTAAATAGTAAAAATATTTGTTTTTTCTTTTTTTTGTAATGAAAAAGGGACCTGCACGTCTTTGAATATTGATATATTTGATTATTGCGATTTATATTTCTCGTTCGTAAAAGATAAATACTTTTAATTATTCTAAAATATAAGATGTAAGCATGCAATCTCTTTTATCCTGATGCATTTTGCATGCAATCTCTTTTATTCTTCAGACAAACCAAAAATCTGACCATTTTTCATCACAGCTCTTTGATGCAGTAGATGAGTTGCCGTGCATATGAAAATATCATCAATGTAAAGCAATGGCTGTTTGAATGTGTATCGACGAAATATCCTGATATGGTTGTATGAATCACGTTCGCTGGTACGTGATTCTGCGTAACGCATAGAGGA